CCTTAGTTCGAGCTAAGTCACCCAGAGACACTGGTTCTGATTTTAATCCTATGAAAGATGCCATTGCTTTGATAAATGCCACCAAGTCATTGAAAATACATTCAAACACACGGTTTATATCTGCCTGTAAAAAGTTCAAGCTTGCCTATGAAGATGCCACCAGAGCATTCGCCAATGAAGCCTTATCAATCGAAGACCGAATTCAAGCGTCGCAGGTTCGAATGATGGCGAGGATTTTAGGAGATTTGGAAGACCCTGATGCAAGCGTCAGCGATTGTTTGCAATTCCTGAAGCAGCTTCATGATATCGGTGCGATTCAAGAAACATTTTCTGTTCTGATGAAAGGTGGAACCGCGTCGTGGCGAAATAAAGCGTTTTTGTTTGATTTTGTTCGGAAGTTCACGAATTTGCGTCCAATTTTGGAATGGCCAGAAATTTCGTTTAGCAAAGGAGTTTGCCATCCGGTGTTCGGAGAATTTTTCCCTTTTAATAAAATGGCGAAATTTGGTTTGAGAAGTATTTCATTGGATCCAGATTTCACATTTGGTGAGGTGATTACGCGAAGATCGGCCATGAATAGCAAAAAAGAGATTATCGCAGAGAATCGAGATGAAACTATCAGAATCTTAAAACCCTCTGGAGAAGGTCGTACCTTTTGTGAATTACCCCAAGTCGAGGATGGTTCAGAAAGGTTTGCTGTTGAGATTTTTATCGATGCCAAAGATAACCTTCACGTCATCACTTGTTTTAGAAAAAGGTCAAAAGATGAATGGAGTTATGAATTGTTTGTCTTTGACAAAGATGGAGCGAAAATACTCGAGTGCCTTTTATCTTTCCTTTCAAACGAAAAGCGATATTATATACCCAGTGCAATAAACACGGACGGGATGATTGCTATTTTAGATTGTTTAAGCAATATTCTTTACATCGGAAACTTATATGATGAGTTCAATGTCGAAAAAAGTTTTCCTCTAAAGAAGCCAATTTTGCGTATTGTGTATTTCGATACTAAAATAATCACTGTAGGTAAGCGAAGAATTTATTTATACGCGGAAAACGGAGAGTTTGAACGCGAATTACGGATACCGGGAGTATCATCCTACTTTACCTTTGACTCTGCTTCAGTTGCAATAAATTATGTCACAAAACGTATTCTTGTTAAACGTTTTGATACAGTGTTTAGGTTCTCAGAAACTGGGGAGCTCATAGACGATTTCTGGTTGGGAGACAGAGAATGGTTAAAATATGCCAAGCTAGTTTCTCATCAAAATGGCGCAGTTGCCTTAGTTCGTGGAAGTGAAGTCGCTTTTCTTCAACTGTAATAATGAATTGTCACAAAAAAAATGAATTGTCCTGCATGTAATGGGTGTAATATGACAATTAAAAAACAACGAAATTCTGACAGCTAATGCAGTAATGATAAAGCCGAATACGTATCGTTTTAAAATGTATGCACAATATTTCATAGCTATTATAAATATGATTAGTAATTAAATCGCAACAGATGTCATTAGTAATTAAATAGCTGCAAAAAACTGTTACACTATGCATTTTCCTTGCAACTTGCAATGCAATTATAATTTTGAGGGATGTTGAATTGTAAAAAGTTTTCGAAATGCTAAGAAAACGTTAGCGGAGAGTGAGAAATGTTCGTATTTGACAACTTTAGATGCCTCAGAAGTAGAATTTCATTGCAAGTTGCAAAGAGAGTTGCATCACTAACACTGCTTATAGATGATCTGATGATGTGATTAAATAATCCGCCGTATTATGGACGTTTAACGTTGAAGAATAGCGGAACTGAGCAGTTTTCTAAACATGATATATCATAATATTCACTTTGTTATGATTGTAAGAAAAATATGAATGTTTTTTCAACACATTGTGCAAAGAAGATATTTACACGTGACCATTATAAAGCCCTTATGGCATTTCTGCATGTGGTAGACCCTGCTAATGAGGCCCCTGGTGAGAAACTGCACAAGGTTGATGAGTTCCTTGCATCATTCAAGGAAAGACGCCATCTATTGTACCAACTTTACCAGAATATTGCAGTAGATGAGCGAATGGTGAAGTCCAAAGCTAGGTCAGGGATTAGGCAGTAGACGAAGAACAAGCCAACCAAGGGGGGGGGAAGCTTTGGGTCTTAGTAGATAGCTCAAATGGCTACACATTTGATTTTGAAACATATGCTTTTGTCATTTGTGATGAACTCTCGGTTTGAGATAAATACATGCATTTTATTTCCAATAAGGGTTTTTTTACTCTGTGTACAAAGTCTGTCTATTATTTGAACTATGAATGCTTTGCTTCATCTACAATCTTGTGCTGTGGGTATGAGTGCCTGCTTGCGAGATTGCAAGCTTCTGCAGGAGTTTAAAAACTTTTCTTTCAACTTGCAGAGCACAAAAATACCAGTTATATATAAAAATGTGGGCAGTGACATATTGGTTTCTGCTTTAGTAGCTGATTTGCCAAAGTTGGGCTTGGTTAGTTTCGAACCTCTATTTTGCAAAGTATAAACAGGCGGTGAATTGCAGAAATAAGTGGGAAAAGTTAAATTCTGAAAGTTAAATATTACCCCCACTATTTAATATATACATAAATATATGACTGTAGCATAGTTTCAAAATTGAACCTATGCAAATTTGTCCCATAACCAGATTTTAGCATTTCTGAGGTATAAAATTCAAAAAGTATAAAAATATATATGCTTTTTATCAATTACCCTGAAACTTTGCAGAAATAAACCCAATATAACAAAGTAACTTTTCATCGAAACAATACTTTGAGAATTCACATTGTTTAGCCGTAACTAGGCAACACTTGAAAATAATCTCAAGGGTTTCAATATAATTTATGCAATTTTTCGTCGCAAAATTGTCTTTAAATTGGAAATAATTTTCTCTACTCGGTAGCCAACGTTATGAGCTTTTGAATGATGTATTTTTCACCGGAAAACACAAAATGTACGCCGAGAAAATGGCGTTGGAATCGAAGGCTTCATTTGCCTTATGTAATTTGACGGCGGGCGACCACTTATGCTATTGAAGTATGATAGCTTTGTCTTTGTATAAAGATGCCCTGACGTCAACAGAGCGACAGCTTAAAATAATATATCCGAAGAATTTTTTGGTAAATTTCTCGTATATTTCAAGATGACTGAGATCGTTAGCGGAGTTTTGAAGCTGACATTTGGATTCATAGTGAACAAGGCTCGTAGTAAGATTGTTGAATGTTTAAACGATGGCGACGTCACGAACGAAGAATGTCGACGCTTGATCGTGAGAGAACTCGATGATATTAAAACGAAGTTGGATGGATTGGCGAGAAAGGATTTACAGAGCAGCCTTCTTTTTCTTCAGGATGGAGTCAACGGGATGTATCAAACTATCATTCAGTTTCAATCATCCGAGAATAATACATCAGAATCTACCAAAGTCGAGTTACCCAGAGATACTACTACTTCAGATCCCAGACCTATCAAAGATGCTATTGCTTTGATAAATGCCGTCAAGTCATTGAAAATACATTCAAGCACACGGTTTATATCTGCCTGTGAAAAGTTCAAGCTTGCCTATGAAGATGCCACCAGAGCATTCGCCAACGAAGCCTTGTCAATCGAAGACCGAATTCAAGCGTCGCAGGTTCGAATGATGGCGAGGATTTTAGGCGATTTGGAAGACCCTGATGCAAGCGTCAGTGATGGTTTACAATACCTGAAGCAGCTTCATGATATCGGTGCGATTCAAGGAACATTTTCTGTTCTGATAAAAGGTGGAATCGCGTCGTGGCGTAATAAAGCGAAGCGACTTGACATTGCTTCGTCTGTTATTCTAATGAATCAGCTGTTGTTTGATTTTGCTCGGAAGTTCACGAAATTGCGTTCAATATTGGAATGGCCAGAGATTTCGTTTAGCAAAGGAGTTTGCCATCCGGTGTTTGGAGAAATTCACCCTATAAATCAACTGGAGAAATTTGGTGTGAGAATTATGTCATTGGATCCACATTTCACATTTAGCGAGGATATTGGGCAAAGATTGATTAGGTCGGTCATAAACAGCAGAAGAGAGATCATCGCGGAGAATCGAAAAGGAACTATCAGAATTTTTCAACCCTCTGGTGAAAGTCGTACCTTTTGTGATTTACCCCATGACGAGGATGGGTCAGAAAGGTTTGCTGTCGAGATGTTTATCGACGCCAAAGATAACCTTTACGTCATCACTCGTTTTGATAAATGTTCAAAAGATGAATGGAGTTATGAATTGTTTGTCTTTGACAAGAATGGAGAGAAAATACTCGAGTATCCTTTATCTTTCCTTTCAAACCAAAGGAGGTCGGGCTTACCCAGTGCAATAAACACGGACGGGAAGATTGCTATTTTAGATTGTTTCAACGATACTCTTTACATTGGAAATTTACGTGGTAAGTTTAATGTCGACAAATGTTTTCCTCTGAAGAACACACGAAACAAAATTTCGCGTATCCGGTATTTTGATACCAAAATAATCGCTGTAGATGAGCGCAGGGGAAGAATTTATTTATACGCGGACAACGGAGAGTTTGAACGCAAGTTCCAGATACCGGAAGTATCCCGCTTCGGCTTTGATTCTGTCTCGGTTGCAAAAAATTATGTCACAAAACGCATTCTTGTTAAAATATTTTACGACAACAGACTGTTCAGGTTCTCAAAAACTGGAGAGCCGTTAGACAGTTTATGTTTGGGAACCAGAGAATGGGTGAAATATGCCAAGCTAGTTTCTCATCCAAATGGCGCTGTTGCTTTAGTCGGTGCAGGAAAAGTGGCTTTTCTTCAACTGTAATAACGAAATGTCGAACGATTAGGTTGCAACGAGACAGCCCGATCTTCAAATAACAACAGCACAACTATTTTAGAAAGTTAAAGAAACGATTGCAATTTCCTGTAATTCTGTGTGCTGGAATTAAACTAAGGCCTTTAGTCTTTGCTACAGTCTAAACCAAACAAACAACGGTTCTCTTTAGTCTTTAATTTAGATCAATATTTAAAGTGATTACGTAATTTACACGCGACTCAGCTCGCGGGACAGTGATGCCAGGACCCGAGGAGGCATCTTTTTTAATTTTGATTTAAAAAGGTTTTGTTTTTGAAGCACTCCTTCGGCGAGGGCCCTCATGGTGAACGTGGCTATGCCGAATCGTATGAGGATATTTTTATTCGATCTATAATTGTACAATATTTAAAACTATATATAGTACGACTGTTACAACGTCACAATATATATACTAGTCAAACTATATAATTAAATGTTTTTGCTACGTTTTAATATCAAGGCAACATGCGACACTTGGGAGCTGTTTCCATGAATTCAACGAAGCGTGAGATGATTTTCAGGTATTGAAATAAGTCTTTTTGAAACAAAAATAACGCATGTTATTGTCAGGATGACTACACCAGTGCCAGGATTATGACTGTTATACACTCATTTCAATACATTAACGTCATTTTATTACGCTTCGTTGAATCTCGCCTAAGCGGAACCATGTATACAGTCCGTTAATAGCGCCGATACACCCAAAAAAGAGAAAACAAACAAACAATCTTCGAGAGAAAGCCTGGTTCACACTTGTCCTAAGAATCTGGGATTCCCTTTGTCCGAGGACGCTGGTGCGCAAAATGCTTTGTCTATCGGAAAGTAATACAATGGATCCCCGATTCTTAGGAGCTAGTTTGAACCAGGGCTTAACACCGGTATCACATACACACAAAATTTAACTACATCCCCCCCCCCTGACGATTAATATTTTGTAGTATTTCATATACACCATTTACCCAAGTCGACCGAAAATATAAATTAATTGCATATCCAGAATATAATCTTAGCTTAAATCCTAAACCTGGATCAGAATAATGATTGAATTCACGAATTATTACCGAGGATTCCCATTTTCTTCCGTTACAAATTTTACGCGAACTTGTTGGAAGGTATGAACGAAAAACTGGAAACTCCTGCTATAATTCGACCTTACTTTCTGTTTGCCAATGATTTGAAAATATTGTAATATTTTAGTACTAGAAATTTATCCTTACACATCTGAAAAAACCCTGTTTTTAGAAAAAAACCTATTATTCGGTGAGATTTAAGACTACTCCGAATGTAGAGAACATCGTTAATTTGAGAATCTACGATTAAAGGTCCCCTTCGACTTCAAGTTTATTGTTTGAAATCTTAAAGGGCACGAACAAGCGGCTTAGTCTTAGAAAAGGCCATTCAATGTTTGTCTTTGTTGATAAAGAAGATAAGTGAACATGTCAAGTCATTCAATGTTTGTCTTCGTTGATTGTTGATAAAAAAGATAAGTGAGCATATTTAATAATCACCTCGCGGTGAAAACCCTCCCCAAAAATGTTAGACATCCCGAGGCATGTATGGCGCATAAGTACGGAGTCATAACCGGTACAAACAATGGCAACGCATATAATTCCACAGCTATAGGCAAAGCCGTAGTTAATAAGACGCCAACGACTTGAGAGCCTGGCAAGAAATGTTTGACTTCTGACAAGAGTTGTTTGACTTTTTGGCCTGTCCGACAAATAATATTCGATGGTGGTACATATGATGGACAGTAAGCTGGAATCCGTTGAATATTGTAGACTAGTTCTCGTATTGGTTGCTTAATAGTGCTTAGCTTAGAAAACCTAGGTCTTAACGACCACTCCAGTGTTTTTGTCATTTTAGCAGCCCTCCTGGGGCTTTCATTGTTGCAATCTTTGTCTTCAGACGTCACTTCCAAAGAGCTAGTGAGCTTCATGGCAAAGCCATAGGGAATACACAGACCTACGATATGACCGGCTTGTTGAAAATCTGGATCTTCTATTAGAGTTTCCGGTTGACTCAGCATTATTCCTTTAGAAATTTCAGCATTCCACGGTATTGTTTGAGTTACCGTTGAAACGAATGTTAAATGGAAAAAATTTTGTAATTCGATACGAAAATTTGGACCGAGCTTTCGTCCAATAGTAACCATTTTGCTGAGTTCTGAGTCCAAATTTTCCACTTGAACCGAGACATCGATACCACCAATGCTTGTTTGAATTCCAGCTCCGGGCTTGCATATATTGCGATCTCCACTGAGTGGTTTAACATCGACCGTTAAATTCCCTTGCAATGAATGTCCTAACGGAATGTCCTTCAGCATAGAAAATACCGAAATTGTTCGTTTCGTGTCCACCGAAATTCTTAAGTAAAGTAAATGGAAAGACGTTATGAAATGCACGCTTGGGCTGGTTTAGTCGTTCTCATTTCAACAGTATTTTTGTAACATACACCGCACTTATGTAAGTATTGGAAACGGCAAATCGTTTCAATAGTCAATGCTACACAATAACAATCTTTACTTTCTTTAAAAAAACCCCAGTAATGTAGCACAAGGCCACAAGCAATACCCATAAAAGTTGATCCAACAAACCGAGTCCTCCAGATACACTGGTAGGAAGCAATTTCAAGAACTGTTGCAAAATGCGCACACCCTCCCAGCCCAACACATATCGTTACAGCTACCAAATGCACCCCTCTCTTTACGCGTTTTCCTTTCAAGTACAGTCGAGTTCCCGCCTTATCTTAATAGGAGTGGTCAATTGCCATTGGCATTTTTCAAGAACACCGCGATATGGCCTCAAAACTCTCGCAATAAAATCTGCATGTATGTTTCTCATAAATGCATAACAGTTCTAAATAGAAATAGTAATTTTTAAAAGGAAATGGGGGATTTTTAAGGTGAATTTTCTTGTCCCTGTTGTTTACATTTTCGAACTTCTATATCTTTTAAAATACGATGTGCTGTCCAACACCATTTAGGTTCACTACGGGTATAAACGCATTTTGTAGTTTCAACAATGATGTAGAATTTAGCCGATTGTGTAGAGATCTATAAAGACCGAAGCGTTTTCCGATTCCAAGAATTTGAACAGTCTATTTTTCCGAAAGAGATCGACTGATAAGGATTTTGATGATAAACTGTATATACATTGACTAGGGGATATTTCAAAAGTTAATTGACTTGCTTGAATAACACAGTACTTGAAGATCAAGTGGGTGTTTGTATTATTATGAACAACAGCAGCACTAAGTAGCAACCAGCAACCCATACACCGCCTATGACACTGTTTTCGAAACTAAATTATTCAAATTTCATCGACTATTTTATCGATTATTACTAGAGGTCATAACAATGTTGAAATGCGAGATGGTTTCAACATTAGTTTTATCGTCAGATGCAGAAATAGTTTCGTTACCAAGATTTCTTTTCTGAGAACGAGTTAAATATTGATTCTCAGTCGGCAATGCTTTCAAATATCTGTCAGTTGAAATGTCGAAAGACCGGAAACGCCAACAAGCTTTTGCTTTCGGTTTTGCTCGATTAACATAGCTACAATACAAGGAGGTAAAGGCCGAGCTTCAAGCTTCGTGTAAGATTTAGTACATTTCGTAATGTGTTCCTATCGAGAAGAATTTTGCTTTAAAATTTGGCATGTAGGCCTGCAAATTCCTCATAAACAATTAACCTGTTCTATGACGATTGCCTCAGCATGAGCTTTTGAGTGGGATAGTAAAAACTTGAAAGATATTGCATCTGAATATATGCTCTGCTAACAACCTTGCACACTAACAAAAACTATGAACGTATCTTTGTACATTAACATGCTTTTCACATGATATAGGCAACGCAGAAATTTCAACAGCTTCCAACGATACGAATACTGGGTGCGACTGATAATATACGAATGCTTCTACTGCCTCTGAACAGTTTTAAGCACATGTACAGTATACTAAAACACGGGGCCATCAGAGCTGTTTATTTAACATATACTCACGTTTGTAACGTATCCATTAGGAAAAAATTCCTCACTGAAAGATCACTGTGAACGGTATACCACCAAGCTAGCCAGAATAAATAAAGCAGGAAGTGGAGTCATGTTATTAAATATAAACTGTATGCAATGCATGTTGGGTAATAAAAAACTGCATGCTGCGAGAGTTCATCTCAATAAAAGAATGAAAATTCTTTCATTCGAATGAATGCCCGATTTTCATCTTTCCGGAAGTCGTGTGGAACTATGAATTAAAATGCAATATACCATGCCTAGTGTATTTCTTTGATATTGCAACAATTTATTATTCTTGTAAAGATTCGTAATGTTGCAAACGCGAGAAATATACTTCCGGAATTAACAGATTAACCATAGTAATAAAAATATTGAAATCAGGAGACAGCAAGATGACATTGCTATAACTTCACATCCATAGTCGTACGGGCGCAACTTCGTTTGGGGGGCAAAAAAAATCGCCCGAATTTTTTAATTATACAATGTGTCCGAATTATAACTTTAACCAGATCTGTAGCAATAAACTTGGCAAAGCGCCGGATGTGCTTTGAAGAAAGTGTAACAAAAATAGCCAAATAGAATACACACATGTGATATATATTACAAAATTTGGTTTTAAAAATTTTATCTCTGTAACTCACACTGGTCAGTGTTAACACCCTGACGTGTTTGTACGTAATCAAGTTTAACATGAAGTAAATTTCCTATATTTCCGCTTTTCTCAACCTGATATTACTGATTAACTTCCAAGTTCTCATTTTAAGCTATTTAGTTTCCAAGTCGTTCAAGCCATCAAGGTGCGCGTGATCCACTGATCTGATAATTGCGTTCGACGAAGGAGAACGCTTCCTAGCCGTGTCATATCGAGATTTGCGATGTCAGATTTGCCTCGTACTGATGTGTCGCCATAGCAACTGGAGACCATGCGCTCGCTCTATTTTGACATTTTGTTGTCAATTAAATCATATGAGCCATCATTGTTGTTAAATTAATCATTTTGCGGGTAACGTTTTGAATCACATACGCTGTGAACCTGTGACGTTTAATGTTAACATTTTTGTTAATTATCGTTAACCGAAATCAACACATTTGGATCACTAATCTGTGATTACTGCTAGTATACTGGATATACCAATTGACAGCGAAACCAATGACGCAGTTATCTGTGTTTTGAACATTTGACGTTTATCACTATATCGATTAATTAATATGAACATTTAAATAATTATCATTGTTGTGTTAGTAAAAATTAACTAATAGTTGCCCATAGTAACCGCGCGTCATTTTGTAACTTGAGAGAAAAAAAGGAGAAAGTTAGGCTGAGGTAGACGCGCCTCTTGAGAGACTGAATATTTGAAAGAAATTGGTTCGAGCGTGAGGAGATTCACCCATCAGGTATACCAACGCTATAGTTTATAAGTCCGTGAACTTCTCGTATATTATTCGTTTTATTAGCAGATTTATAGTTGATTTAAGTGAACTTTATTATCGCGTATAACCATTGTACTTGTAAAATATGATTGGAATGTGCCACATGTAATCTTTGTAAATTTGTGATTTTCAGAATATAAATACTTAAAATCAAAAGGAAATCTCCTTGCGTGTCGCAGTTAGTCTTCCTGGCATGTGTCTTTACCAATCTGTGCCAGCCTGACGATTTCCCGCATCGACGTAAACAATTTTATTACTTACATATCATATTGATGAATTTTATATTGATCAAGTACTTTGACCTTCAATGTCAGTCTTTCCAATCAATATGGTAAGCTAAGTTGCTATGGTAAGCAGGCACCCTGCGCAGGGCTTCTCCAGAAATAGCATGTCTTTCAACTCGGCCGATAAACTATTCAAATCGAAATAATAGTGCTTAATTTGAATTTCAAAGAGTATTTTGACACCCTATAGAATCTGAATTTAAACTATTCGTAGCTTATTCTCATTACCTGAACGTCGACACGTTTCAGCTTATTATATAACTTATGTTTTAGTAACCGCGCGGTATATATTTCAAGATGACGGATATTATAAGCGGAGTTTTGAAGCTGGCGTTTGGATTCTTAGCGAACAAGGCTCGCAGTAAGATTTCAGAACGTTTAAACGATGGCGACGTCACGCACGAAGAATGTCGACGCTTGATCGTGAGAGAACTCCATGATATTAAGACGAAGTTGGATGGATTGGCGAGAAAGGATTTACAGAGCAGCCTTCTTTTTCTTCAGGATGGAGTCAACGGGATGTATCAAGCTATCATTCAGTTTCAATCATCCGAGAATAATACATCAGAATCTACGGAAGTTGAACCAGCAAACTCCTTAGTTCAAGCCAAGTCACCCAGAGACACTGATTCTAATTTTAGTCCTATGAAAGATGCCATTGCTTTGATAAATGCCATCAAGTCATTGAAAATACATTCAAACACTCGGTTTATATCTGCCTGTGAAAAGTTCAAACTCGCCCATGAAGATGCCACCAGAGCATTCGCCAACGAAGCCTTGTCAATCGAGGACCGAATTCAAGCATCGCAGGTTCGAATGATGGCGAGGATTTTAGGAGATTTGGAAGACCCTGATGCAAGCGTCAGCGATTGTTTGCAATACCTGAAACAGCTTCATGATATCGGTGCCATTCAAGGAACATTTTCTGTTCTGATCAAAGGTGGAATTGCGTCGTGGCGAAATAAAGCGAAGCGACTTCAAATTACTTCGTCTGTTTTTCTAACGAATCAGCTATTGTTTGATTTTGCTCGGACGTTCATGAATTCACCTCCAGCGATATTTGACTGGCCAGCGATTATGTTTGGCAAAGAAGTCTACCATCCAGTGCTCGGAGAAACACGTCATGTTCGCCAATTGATGGAATCTGGTGTAAGAATTATGTCATTGGATCCAGATATCACATTTGGTGAGAAGATTCTTCCATGTTTGTCTCTCGTGAACAGAAAAAGAGAGATTATTGCAGTATGTCAATCAAACCCGGGAACTATTAGAACTTTTAAATCCTCAGGAGAAAGCCGTACAGTTTGTGAAGTTCCCTATTTGCAAGACAAGGATGCGTTAGGATTGCGAATTATGGCGATGGATATCGACGCCAAAGATAGCCTTTACCTTATCGTCGGTTTTACAAAAAAATCGAATGAAAAATGGAGTTATAAATTGTTTGTCTATGACAAAAATGGAACTAAAATAGTCGAGGATCCTTTACCTTTCGTTCCAAAGAAATCGTTTTTTTCCCCAGAAAATTCGGCGTTTTTATATATGTCAATAAACCCGAGCGGGAAGGTTGCTATCTACGATAGTGAGAGCAGTATCGTATACATTGTAAGCGTATGTGCTAATAAGTTCAGTATCGATAAAACTTTCCTTCTGAACGGGATATCAGGTCTAGTTACGAATTTCTGGTTTTTAGACACTGAAATAATCGTTGCAAGTTCGTTTGAGAAGACTGTTTATACATACGCAGACAATGGAATGTTAAAACGAGAATTTAAGATACCGGAAATAGATCTGTTATTGCGCATTGTTCCTATTTTTTCGGTTACAATAAATTACGCCACAAAACGTATTCTTGTTAAATCATCAGTATCTAGCAGAATTTTCAGGTTCTCAGAAACTGGAGAGCACATCGACAGTCTACGTATCAATCAAAGCGGAGAGTTCGAGCTTGTTTCTTGTTCAAATGGTGCAGTTGCTTTAGTTGAAGACTCACAAGCCGTTTTTCTTCAAATGTAATAATGAACTACTCAGACATTCAGGTTGCTCAGTCAACAAGTCTGTTCACAGCACAATCGGCTCCTCGACTGCCTAACAACCTGAAAGACAAAAAACTAACCTTTCTGACAACTGCTCTTTTACTTAAAAAGTCGTGAAGTTTTTCGCCGTTTACTTCGGACATTTGAAACAACGATGTTGGGTGCATAACTTAGCTGAAATGTTTACGAATGCAAAACTTGACAATTAATTAAAAACCTTGACTACCAATTCAGTAACAAACTAAAACTTAACGTAATGCAAATTTAAATTGTATGCACAATGTTTCATAACTATATATATATATGCAATGAATAAGTTTGAAGTAATTTCCTGTACAATAGACGTTTAGAAAACCATTATCAAAAAGTCTTGTTGTCTATATAGCTCATATCTTAAGTTTACAAGCTGTTATTATTCGAAGCATGCTTTTTTATAGACGTTTAAAGTTGTAGAAACTAAAAAGATGTTTATTAATGGAACTTAAAGTGGTAAACAGAGAAACTGAGCATGCAGTTTCTTAAACACGATATACCAAAATAACTATTGACTTTGTTATGATCGTAAGGAACAAGTACGATCGTACTATAGGGACCAGGAACTGCGTAACCGAGTTTAATTTCTGAACTGCATTGTATTTATAACAATGGAGAGGACAATGTATTTCTAATCGTTTCCGTTTACTTATATACAGGGTGTCCCAAAAAAAACGAAAACTATTGAAATCACTCATTGTTAAAATTTGAATGCTGTGTGCACGAATTTTAGCCGATGGGGATTTAATGCAACTCAGAAAAATGCTAAATGCTTTGTCTTGCTAGAGAAAGGGGACATATCGAAGGTCATGGTGATTGAGATGCACATTTCAGTATTGTTGATAAATATCATTTTTGCGTACGAGAAAATTTTACTGCATCATATGCATGCATAAAAATGCTTATGGAAAACATTTACACACTTGTGGGTCCCAACAGAGTGCTTAGGCATTCAATTACATTGTTTTAGGGGATTTCAATAGTTTTCGGTTTTTTTGGGACACCCTGTATATAGGCTGAATATTAATGATATGTATATATTATTTGCTGCAAATATATCAAGAATTGCTTGTAACTTGCTTCAAAGGTCAAAAGTAAAAATTCGAACTCCGTCAATCGATGCGGAATAATGCTTAGAATAATTGTGCCAAGTTTCATTCCGATCAAACAAGTAATGAAAGAGCCTTAGGGTTTTTTTAAAGAGCGTCGCCCCCTAACAACAACAACAACAACAACAACAAGATTAGCAGCGGTTAGGGACCAGTTCCTGGTCCAACAAAACAAGATTAGCAGCGGTTAGGGACCAGTTCCTGGTCCAAAAACTCTTTTTCAACATTGTGCAAAGTGTCTTGGTCCCTGGCGGTGGGTGCAGGTTTACGTAGGTTTGTTTTAAGTAAAGCCAGCCAATTATCTAGCGTCAGTACATCTGCGTGTGATCTAATCTGTCAAAGATCACAAAGTTAGCGCTTCCTCTTGGTAATAATTTTATATCCAGAGCTAATCCACCGGCGAATATAATCCTAACTTTTAATCCTAAACGTGAACCAAACCTCAGCTACTTATACTAAAGGATCAGAATCAAGGGTTATATTATGGACATGAAATTATTACCTTCCTCTTAATTTCAAGGGGAAGAAAGACGCGTCGAGTGTGTGCAGGCTAATGGTGCGGGATTTTTTTGTTCTGGTTGATAAGGGCCATGAAATACCACCCGTTAGAGCTAATTCAATATATTGAGGATTTTTCATAATGAGCTTTGACCCTCGATGTCCCCAAAATTCGTATTCGGATTTGGGCGCACCGTCAATGTCAGTCTAAGTATATTGATAATAAATCAGTTAATGCTTCGTCCATCCACCTGATGAATCAACTTTCGTTTGATTTTGAATGGGTTGGAGATGCAAAGATAGCTTCGCATTCAAATGGTACTGTTGTTTTAGTTTGCTCTACAGAAGTATATGTTGTATATTTTGCTTTTAATGCCCGCATATGGCCAAAATGCAGGCTGTGCAAAATTCATAAAATACAATTATAAATGTTTGCGCGAAAGTTTCGGGACTCGAGGCATCGGTGTTAAAGATTTTGTATTCGCAGCACAAAAACAATCCACTTGCAATGCTAAATTAAAATCTTTCATAACAGAACGAAGCGTGTGAGAAATTACATTTAATTTCCATACTAGTGGAATCGTTGTATATTTACTAATAGGAGTACTAAGGGGTACGAAAATTTTCCCAAGAATACCCGGTTAGACGTGATTTTCTTTCTTTGAGTGATGTGAACGAGGGGATATGCGTAATCAATCGTTTTCACGCCAAAACAGTTGCAAACACCATCAATTTGGGATAGAAGTTAGAGATAATTTATTTAAAATATATCGAGTATTTTATCATTGTAATCAAGGGCCTTGACCTTCGATGCCCCCGACATCCGCGTGGGCACCCGGTCAATATTTACTTTATGTTAGTGTTCATGATGCCACACTGAAAGACGTTCTCCAACGAAACCTTATTCATCGAGGACCAAATCCAAGCAACCAAGTTCGAATGATCGCAGAAATCTTAGAGAGTTTGGAACCCTAACGCAGCCGTTCGATTATTTCGAGATTACTTGGAGCAGCGTCGTTATTTTGGCACCATTCGGGGAACATTTTCTGATTTGATTGGTGAGTGGCGTCAATTAGCGAAGCAGCTTAATAGCATTGATGGCTTTGTCCGTTCACCTGACCTATCGGGAACTTCACACGAAATTTTTCGAATTTACCACTAACTGCATGGGAGATAGCAATAACATTTCAAACAACTTGAATGCCGAGTTTCGGTCAAACACTTAAAAATTTTTTGATTTCCCGCATCGACGTAAACAATTTTATTACTTACATATCATACTGATGAATTTTATATTGATCAAGTACTTTGACCTTCAATGTCAGTCTTCCCAATCAATATGGTAAGCTAAGTTTTATTTAGCAGGCACCCTGCGCAGCGTGTCTCCAGAAATAGCATGTCTTTCAATTCCTGCCATTAACTATTGAAATCGAAATAATAGTGCTAAATTTGAATTTCAAAGAGTAGTATTGTTGGGAGACACCCTGTATACAATCTGAAATTAAACCGCTAATTGTAGTTTATTCTCATCGCCTGTACGTCGACAAGCACATGCATGTTTCAGCTTATTATATATAACTTCTGTTTTAGTAACCGCGTGGTATATATTTCAAGATGACGGATGTCATAAGCGGAGTTTTGAAACTGGCGTTTGGATTCTTGGCGAACAAGGCTCGTAGTAAGATTGTTGAATGTTTAAACGATGGCGACGTCACGAACGAAGAGTGTCGACGCTTTATTGTGAGAGAACTCGATGATATTAAGACGAAGTTGGATGGATTGGTGAGAAAGGATTTACAGAGCAGCCTTCTTTTTCTTCAGGATGGAGTCAACGGAATGTATCAAGCCATCATCCAGTTTCAATCATCCGAGAATGATATATCAGAATCTACGGAAGTTGAACCAGCAAACTCCTTAGTTCGAGCTAAGTCACCCAGAGACACTCGTTCTGATTTTAGTCCTATGAAAGATGCCATTGCTTTGATAAATGCCATCAAGTCATTGAAAATACATTCAAACGCACGGTTTATATCTGCCTGTGAAAAGTTCAAACTCGCCTATGAAGATGCTACCAGAGCATTCGCCAACGAAGCCTTGTCAATCGAGGACCGGATTCAAGCGTCGCAGGTTCGAATAATGGCGAGGATTTTAGAGGATTTGGAAGACCCTGATGCAAGCGTCAGCGATTGTTTGCAATACCTGAAGCAGCTTCATGATATCGGTGCGATTCAAGGAACATTTTCTGTTTTGATGAAAGGTGGAATAGCGTCGTGGCGAAATAAAGCGAAGCGACTTGACATTGCTTCGTCTGTTATTCTAATGAATCAACTTTTGTTTGATTTTGCTCGGAAGTTCACGAATTTGCGTTCAATATTGGACTGGCCAGAGATATCGTTTAGCAAAGGAGTTTGCCATCCGGTGTTTGGAGAAATTCATCCTATAAATCAACTGGAGAGATTTGGTGTGAGAATTATGTCATTGGATCCAGATTTCAAATTTGGCGAGGATATTAGGCCAAGATGCTCGTTCATGAACAGCAGAGGAGAGATTATCGCAAAGAATCGAAGAGGAAGTATAGAAATTTTTAAACACTCTGGAGAAAGCCGTACCTCTTGTGTTTTACCCCAAGACAAGAATGCGAAATGGGTGGTTGCTGAGATGTTTATCGACGCCAAAGATAACCTTTACGTCATCGCTAGTTTTAAACAAAGGTCAAAAGAGATACAGAGTTATATTAAACTGCTTGTCTTTGACAAGAATGGAGCGAAAATACTCGAGTGTCCTTTGCCTTTCCTTTCAAACAAGACGAGTAATATACCAAGTGCAATAAACACGGACGGGAAGATTGCTATTTTAGATCGTTTTACCAATATTCTTTATATTGGAAATTTATGTGGCGAGTTCAATGTTGAGAAAAGTTTTCGCTTACACGAAGAAGGAGACGCAATTGAAATTTGGCGTGTTTTGTTTTTCCATGCCAAAGTAATCACTGTAAATGTGTTTGGCGGAAGAGTTTATTTATATGCGGACAACGGAGAGTTTGAACGCGAATTGCGGATACCGAGGGTATCCTACTTTGGCTTGGATCAGTTTGTTTCAGTTGCAGTAAATTATGTCACAAGACGTATTCTTGTTAAAATGTTTTACAGCAACAAACTGTTAAGGTTCTCAGAAACTGGAGAGCTCATAGACAATTTATGTTTGGGAACCAGAGAATCGTTAAATTATACCGGGCTAGTTTCTCATCCAAATGGTACAGTTGCTTTAGTTGGTAAAAGGGAAGTCACTTTTCTTCAACTGTAATA